AATATGCGTTTTTGCTGCCTGTTGCAGCGCTCTAGCGCTGCACGGCAAAAACGCATAAAAAGCTGACCTGAATAACAAAGACAGAAATATTTGGAACTAAGGTAAGAATTGGAAGAGAAAAACACGAAATGGAAACAGCGATGCATTCAGACTGAAATCTATGTTTCGCTGCGCTGACAGAAAAGCTAATATGGCTGAATGATATGTTTTAAAAATAAATCGATGATTACAGATGTCGAATAGTCAGACAGACTGAAATCACCAGCTTGCTTGCAAGCAACGGGAAAAATATAAACAGCCAAGCCTGTGACGGTTACTTTTAAGAAGACTCTTTTTAACATATATTACTGGCTTTAATATAAATTTTAATATATATCACTGTTTTGCAGGTGTATGGTGGCTCACTGTCCGATGTGCTGGAGAATCGAAAAGGACAAGTGGATGACAAAGAGAAAATCGGAAATATGTCACTGGGCTCGGCGTGCGGCCTCGAATACATTCATGCGCAGAATATAATCCATCGAGATATCGCAGCACGTAATGTACTTTATACGATGAACAAAGTGGCCAAAATCAGTGATTTCGGAATGTCGCGACAGGGTGATCTCTACAGGATGACAAAGGGCAACAAAAAAATACCACTGAAGTGGACAGCACCGGAAAGCATGTCTGTGTATCAGTATACAAAAAAAACCGACGTCTTCTCATTCAGCATTTTGCTTTGGGAAATATTTTCGGATGGCGAAGAACCGTACAAAGGATTGACGGGTGTCGATGTGAAACGAATGGTTTGCTTCTTTGCACACATTATTTTCAAAACAAATTTTCATTTTTTAAGAAATCATAGCCTGAAGTGTCAATTGTCTCCCAGTCGAAGTTTTGGATTCAAATCCGTGAGTTAGGAGTGACTTCCTCTGCAATTCTTTGTTTCGTTTCAATGATGTTGTAAACTGGTACTGTCGCCTCTTTATTCAGAGTCAAAACATTTTCAGCTTATTTCACTAGCAGCTCCGGGATAGCTGTCAATATCTTATCAGTCAAATCATTTTTCAAGGACCTAGTTACCTCAGAGAAATTAAAAAAAGGCGTATTGATTCGGACTGTATTTTGCAATTTTTTATCAGCTTTTTGAAAATGGGTAACAGGCAGCGATCTGCCATAGGCGGGAAGAGGGTTCACTGGGAGAAGAGTTATAAGGTGGGCCAGTAATTCCGACTGCTGTGTTTGGCATAGCAAACAACAGGTTGCACCTCAACAAATCAGGCATTCCAAGCCGATGGGGGATTTAGCAAAGTCATGTCAAGAACTGCGAGTACGGGCAGTTACAAAAAATACGTACAAGTAAATCGCCAATTGGTCTGCAGGTTTCATGCGGTGAACGAATGGAAAGGCCGGAAGGTTGCCCGAAGAATATGTTCAAAATAATACAAAAATGCTGGGAACAAAGTCCGGACGACCGATACACCATGTCTGAGGTAAACTGAAACTGGATACTTCATGTGAACATATATTTCCAGTATATTTTTTCAGCTTTTCGATAGCCTCCACATTATGCGCTTCGGTGAGAACTAAGAAAACTAACTCAATAATGCAAGCGGGCTGACCACCAGGAAATGTAGTATTAATTATAGCAATGGAAAAGCTGTCAGCTGCAGGCCAAAAAACCACTTTATCAGCCACAGCTGATCAAAATACCAAAGTTTTAAAGGTTGCTTAATAAAAAAAACCCCCTAGAGATTTCCAAAAATTATTTCTCCAAAAATTGATAATTTTACAGGTTGTAAGGAAAATTGAAGATGTACTGGATGATTATGCAACTGATTCCATCGAGACGGAAGGACACGTTGAGCCCAAGGTAACAGTTTAGAATGCAGAGAAAGTGAAACCTGTGGGGCAAGGCACTATTAGAAATGCATACCACTCAGTGGTACCTGGTCATCAAGAGCTGTTAATGTAGATAATTCTTCCCAAAGAGATGGCGCATGCTTGCTACCACAGATGGTCCGTGAAAAGCCGGAGCCAGGTAGCGAGGCTTCTGACACTTGGCTGCTTCTCAGGAACATAAACAAGTACACTCTGACAATCATAAGGAGACATTTTCTATAAGGAAAGCTATCTTATTTTTTGCTTCCTACAGCGACAAATAAATAGCGGCACGCGCCAGGGTAGCCGATGCGATTATGAGTTTTGCACGGTTCAGTCCAGCGAGCGTTTGCTGCTAAGAATTTTTACTGTTTTACACTTTGTAAGTGCAAAAATAGTCAATATGTTGTCTGGCTTTTAGGCTGCGAAATTTCCCACTAATAATTCCAATTACTAGTATGTGAAATGCCAGCGTATCGTGAAAAAAATGAATTTAAAGCTTTTGAATTGCACACTGTCGGTGGACATCCCTCTAAAATTTTAGCTTCTTAGTTTTCTGGCTTTCAAGTTAGTGACTCTTGCGCCAAAACTCTCATGTGGCGGTGCATGAGATTTAGATGCACGTGAAGACTTCATTGGTTTTGGCGCCAAAACTTTCACATGGTCGTACGTGAGACTTAGGCGTACATGAAGGCTGAAATTAAATTTGTGAGGAAACGCTTCGGCGAGGAACATTCTCCTAAAATTTCAGCTTCCTAGCTTTTCTGGCTCCCAAGTTGAAAAGTGAGGGCAAAATGCACCCGGGTACATATACATGCACAACTGCACATATACACACAGACAAAGGCGCGACGATATGCGTAATAAAAACGAAACCCAGGCTGGAACGCACCAGGCGAGCCGGTGCCATCATGCGTTTTTACATCAAACTTGAAATAATTAGGTTAACTGCATGAACGGTTGTTTCTTCACATATGCCTTGTGCGCCCAATACCGTAAATCATCGTAAATTTTGCAAAAAAGGAAATAAACAATTTCCGTTTAGCGGTTTAACAATTTAACAATTTCCTGCCAAAAAAGTTTCGCAGGACCGTACGTGAGAATCACGTACGGCTGGGGGCTGAACTTGAAAAGTTTAAGTCGTACGTGGACTGGGAACATTCTCTGAAAATTTCAGCTTCCCAGCTTTGTTTGTTCGCAAGTTAGCCATTTTCCGGCGGAAAAATCTCACAGGGCCACACCTGAGAACCAAATGCGACTGGGGAATGAATTAGATAACTTTAAATCGTACATGGGTTGGAAGCATTCCCTGAAAATTTGAGCTTCCCAGCTTTGTTCGTTCCCGAGTTAGTCATTTTCCCGCCGAAAAATCTCACGGAACCGTACGTAGGGACCGCACATACCTGGAGGATGAATTTGAAATCTTCGAGTTATATGTGGATGGGGAACATAACCTTAAAATTTCAGCTTTCTATTTTTTCTCGCTTCCGAATTATCAATTTCTCGCCAAAACTTTCACCCTCTCGTACACGGGCCCAGACTTGCGTGAGGGTTGATACCGCGGTTCTGGGGTGGCACTTGGCCGGGGAACCTATTAGCAAAATCTTGGCGCTGAAACTTACTTGGTTGCCGAGCTGAAATACCCGGACAGACGAACACACACATATACACATAGACAGGGTCGTCGCAATATACGTTTTTGCAATTTGCATATAGGCAAAAACGCATAAAACCAGTTACCATCCAAGCCAGAAAGTTATACTGTCAGCTGTCAGTGTCAGTCTTCTTAGAAGACAGAAAGTCGACGAAATTGTCAGCAAGTTTTTAGTATACGAATTACTTCCGAATGCTTCCGACACTTCTTAAGAGTGGAATATCGAAGGAATTTTGACTTTTTGGCTGAGTTTCGATCAGGCTTTAAGAGATTTTCAAAGCCGTAAAATTTTTCACATAAGACTGGCTAAGTGTCAGCGTTTCATTCTGCTCAATAATTATGTAAATTTCACAAGTAAATTCATTTTGCAGAAGAAACGAAAAAAACATCACAAAGGGAAAAGTAAGAAGACGAGAACGAGAAGGCGAAAAACAAGACGCAAGAGTGAATTGTCTCTATCCGAGTATGCTATATTTCATGAATCTGAAATTTTGGAATTGAAATTTACTTTAATTAGCAGCAATTAATGAGATTCTTTGCTGGATGGACCAGACTGGTTCTGGGATCAACCTGTCTTCCGTGGTACAGCCACAGATGAAAGCCCACGTTTAGCTTGAAAATTTCTTTCTCTCTCTCTCTCTCTCTCTCTCTC